TACTAAGTAACTTGGGATACATTTTTAAACCTCTCTAAATCTGTTTCTCCCTCTATAAAAAATTAAAATAATATTATTAGTTACCCTGTGGCATGTATTGAAGATTAAAGTAAGATTATATATTTAAAGAACTGAGCATTGCCTGGTACAGAGTAGGTGCTCATTGTTCTAGAATCTTCATTACTCTTATTCTTATAAATGGGGTAGCTCTTAGGAAGACTTCAGACAAGTGTTGGAGATATAATTCTGATTTAGCAGATAGCAATAGCAGAAAACACTGCTACAGGGGCAGGCAACCACTGATCTATACCAGAAAGCCCCTGTGGTTGCTGAACGTTGGCTCCCAACACTAGCCCACACTTCAGCTAATGGAAGAGGCCCCCAGATAAATGTTACTAATGTTTCTAACTTGCCCACTAAGTATTGGAAGAGAAATTCCAAGAGCTCTTCCAAATCTAAACAAAATTATTGGATTTGATTCAAGCAAAAAGTCTGTTCATTCCCAAACTGTGTGAACCAATCCCCAGAACTCAGAGCAAAATGGTTCTGGTTCTTTTTAATTAGGAGTCTCTTTTTGATGCCTGTGTCATGTAACAGCAGGGGCCTAAGGAATACTTCCCTTGTTAGTCATTAAAGCTGAAAGCTACAAAGCATTCATAAAACTCAGACTCCAGCCCTCAACAATCATCAATCTCTAAATCTAATAAACTTTGTAACCAGAGTCTTCATTGCCAGGATAATGAGTGACCAGCATACACTAAATGAATCAGGGTTCTTTGTCTGGCAACACATTGATTCTGATAGATGGAAAAGGCCAGCACGGAAGAGACCCTTGGGGGAGTTGTTGAGAAGTTAACAGTATTGCCTATTGAACACCATTCATCTACACATACTGTGAAAGGTCTGAGAAATCATGTTATTCTTCTCATGTGCTCATTCCAGTGTACACAATTAATTGAATGTAGAAGGTCTTCAGGGATCTGAATCCCTGGTCTTTTTAACATTCTATGTACCACCTAGACAAAATGGAGTACAAGGAAGAATGACTCCTTCTGTGTGCCTAAGGAGAATGCAAAAAGCATGTATTCATAGCAGCCCTTATGTGGTACTACATTTGGATTGGAAATTAGAATTATTTCCTATTGCCTTCTTATTTCTTTAAATACAGGGTACAGAATGGAAAAAAAGGGCAATAGAAGTGAAACAAGCTATTTGCCAACAGATAGAAACAACTTCACTTGTATCACACCTTAATTATTAGTATAATTTACCTTTTGCCATTTCAGTGCCATTTTTACCCTATACTGTGACAGTTGGAAAGAATCATCTTCTAGATATCAGGCTATTGTCAATCAGGGAAATTATTCCCCAAAGACAATGCAAGAGCGTTCAACTCTACCAACTTTTGCAAACTAGCATAGGGAACTTTCCAGTCACTTCAAGTAGAACTCTACCACTATCCCCAGTCCTCTTGAGCATTAACAGGAATGCAGTGTTAGCAGGTAGGAGGCCCCTCCCCCTGTCCTCCACTACAGCCTGCCCCAGCCACGCAATGATGCTCCATTACTACTACTGGGTGTAAATACCCTTCCTTAGGCTCCTGTGGAAGAGGAAAGGGAAGTGTCCTGTCCAGTAAGTCCACTGCTACTGCAGCCCTTGGTGAAGGACAGTGGGAAAGGCTTTCTTGTGCCTGGAGACAGAGCTGGGGGATGGGGAATGCTTGACTGGGGGACTAAATGAGGTGTGGGTTGAAATATGTATTATCCCAAAAGAGGCAAGATAATAATATGCAAGGAAGATAGGAAAACAATACAGTGTTTTGTATATGCTAATAGTACCTACTGTTTTATGATCACCACAGGTAGTGCAAACTTCCACAGATGACATATAAAATGAGCCAATTTTTCAGGAAATACCAACACAGGTGGGAACTGATTTTGAAATGAAAGGTACGAAAAAAATAATAAAATGCTCTTAAATTTTTCCAAGTTTTTAATAATTGTATTTTATTAAATTAAGAATATTTCTTCAGCAAAAAAAAATTATTTTCATCAAGCTTTTAATGAGTAAACACTAAACTAAGTATTCTCGAAATAATCTGAGATGTGAGCAAAAATATATTCACAAAGAAGTGTTAACTTCAGATTAATTTATACTAGTAAAAAAACATGAAACGTTTTAATGTCCAAACCATTGCTGATTAAGAACATGATGTATTTCAATATTATGGAATAATATGTAGCCATTAACATGTTGTTCACAAGGTTTTTGATTTATATGGGAAAAGTAGTGTGAAATAGAAAACTCAATATGTTTGATGAGAGTCAAGTTATTCTGCCGGAGAGAGTGGGAGAACTTGTTTTCTTTCTCTCATGGGAGAAATAAGATTGAGAAGAGAAGGGAGGAAAAGTGGTAGGAGATAGAGCCAAATAACATAAGGAAATCACCCAGAAACTTTAAAGAATAAGAATTTCTAATATTCAATTTTAGGATTTACTTTAGCTTCGCCGAAGTAAACTCGGTTTGGTCCTCTAAGACCTTCACTTAGAGTCTCACACAAGCAGAGTCCTTATAAGAGAAGGGTATTTGGGAGAAACAAAAAGAAATCAGTGAAATCAGTATCTACTGATTTCACCTATGGGTCGAAGCTCGGATAGGTACAAAGAAGAACTTCAAATGAGAATCTGCTGAAGGTGGTAAGCTGGAGCCTGAAGTGACCATGACACTTAGGAGGGGCCCTGGGCTTTCCAAAGAGCATGTGATCCAAAACCCTACAGTTAGCAAGTGGCAGAACCAAATCCACGCATGCTCTTAATATAATGGTTGCCTTTTTTTCTACTCAATCGTGCATCTGTGAGCTTTCCAAATCATTTTTTAATGGAAATGATTTATTTGATAATTAGGAAAAAGGGCAGTAAAGAATTGAAATGAAGATGTTTCAGTACCACATGAAAGGACTGTTGAAGCTGTCCAAGGACACTTGGGTAACATCCATGCCTGAAGATCAAATGGCAGATAGCATATCACTTGGTTGGAAAGGGAACCCAAATGTGGGTAAGCAAAGAAAAGACAATTTAGACCAAAGAAAAGACAATTTAGACCAAGGAAAGAAGTCAGCATCAGAGAAATCAAGCAGAACATGGCTGGTATTTTAAAGGAACAGTAAAGTCTGGGAAATACAGAAGATGTTGTAGTTGATCAAATGGTACAGCCAGTTGGTAATAATAATCATGGAGCGTGTACTGAGAAAGGCCCTGTGATAAATGCTTTATGTGTATTGTTTCATTTAAATATCTCAATAAATCTGAGATAAACGCTATGGTTATCACTATTTTAATTTTTTTAAAAAAGAGGTACACAAGGATTAAATAACCTAAGCAATGTTACTCAGATATTAAGTGGTATAGCAGGATTTGAACCCAGATAGTCCAATTCTAGATCCGCAAAAAACAACAATAATGACTTACTATGTGCCGGGCACTGTGTTAGAGGTCTCACGTGGATTACCTATATAATCCACAAAACAACCTATTGAGATAAGTACTATTATTATTTACATTTATGGGCAGTAAAACCAGGTCATCCTGGCTTATGGGAAAAGGTAACTTAATTGGTTCATAATTTATCGTAATTTATGGTGCAATGATTCTTTTTATTCTCCCATTTGAATATAAACTTTGAGTCCCATGGACAAAAGGCACACTATCATCATCATAAATCTGTTTATTTGTATAATTATGTATTTATTCATTTAGAAAACATTGTGTAATAACCAGATGTTAGTGTTTTCCACGGTAAAAACATGAAGGTAATTTTTAGGCAGGAAATGTATTTCAGCACATCATACTTGCTTAGATATACCTGCATCATTTTGTGAATTACTTATGTGCTTATTATGGTTCATGGTTGCTATCAGTAGTTATGGCTCAAGTGATCTCAACAGATTTTAATATTAGCTGACATAAAGCATCATTAAAGTGATACATTTTGTAGAGTTGGAGGTAATATGAGGAGAATGGAAAAGAAGGAAAGAAAAATGAAAAAAGGAGAACATTTTAAAAATTATGTTTCCAAAGTCTAAGCTCTTGGGAATACCTGAAGGTTGGTCTGTGCTGCTGTACTTCATTTCAGATGACTATAGCACCCCCTGGTGAACAACATTAACATTTCATAATTTTCTCCAAATAGCATATGCTGCAAAATCAAGTGGCTTTTAGAAGTAGCTCCTTTGGTGTCTTTTCTCACTTTTGGTTAAGGAAGCATGTGCCCAAATTGAATTTAATTCATTTCAGAAGCTGTTCCAATACGAAAGTGAGTTTTATGTAACATGCAAATTTACTTCCAGAAACAAATAAGAATTAGGGGGACTTGAGTACCTTGAATTAATCAAATTAGTTGCAGAGCATACTAATTTAGAAGAAGCAAAAGGCTGAAAATTTTATCTACAAAGTACAACAAAAATTATTTTCTTCATTTGCATACATAAATTGCAAATTTTCACTGGGCTTAAGCACATAAATATATTCACACACTTTGCTCCCCTACCTCTTTTAGATCTTTACTCATATGTCACTTTCTCAGTGATGTTTTTATTGATCATCTTATTTGTAAACGTAGACTCCAATACCCTACACTCCCTATGCCTTTCTCTGCTTCATTTTTCACCACAGTTAGGATGGCCAAATAAATTTTTGTCCAAATCAAGATACTTTTGAGAGTGGAAAATGATGCTATTAATATTTACACAGGGACAAATAGGCAATGGGTACACTGTAACAAGGTCACCTCACTCATAGTACTTATCATCTTCTAATGTATTATATATTTTACTTTTTATTTTCTTTCTTTTCTTGGTAAAAACTCACAATGAGCAGGGAGTTTTGCCTGTTTGGTTTTTCTCTCGTTTTTTTTTTTTTTTCTTATTGCTCTAACCTCAGTGCCTAAAATAATGTTCATAATAGGTGCTCCATAATATTGGCTGAATAAATGAACATGCTTACCTGCTGTGGTCATTCAAAATGGCTGCAAGTCCTTGGTCACTTATTTCATTGAGAGGTAGCACTTATTTCTCCATTCCTTGAATCTAGGCCGGATCTCTGACTACCTCAACCAATAGAACGTGGTAGAAATGCGCTGTGACAATTCCAGACCTGGCCTTTAAGAGGACTGGCAGTTCTTGTTTTCTGACTCAGAGCATTAATTCTTGTTCTTGGCATGCTTCCTTTTGCAATCCAGCCACAATGCTGTGAGGAGCCCAGGATATTCGGGTAGACCAGCCCCGCTGAGCTTTCAGCCTACAGCCAGGATCAATGACCAAGTTTTGAGTGAGCCATCTTGTCTATTCCAGCCCATTTGAATCCTCAGGTGACTGCAGTCCTAGCCAACATCATGTGGAGCAGTAGAACTGATCAGGTAAGTCCTAAAGAAATAAAACAGTTGCTGTTATTAAGTCACTAAGTTTTGGATGGTTTGTTATGCAGCGCAGTAGATAATTGAAACATCTGCTATATCTGTGCTGAGCACCACCAGGAAGGACACAAAATGAGTAGGAAAAGATTGATCTTAAGGAACTATGAGTTTAAAGGAAGAAAAAACTCACTTATATGAATACTGTTTTCTTGTAAGTTGATTACTGCTATAAAAAGCCAAAAGTAACCTGGAAGTTTGTAGGAAGGATGTGTTCAAGGGGAGTTTAGGGAAGTAAAGACAATTCATTCAGTTGGTGAAGAGTGAGGAGATTATCACTAGATAGAATTTAACAGTTAGAGGTGAGGGGCAGAGTTAGTGGTGGAAGCAGAGCTAATAGCATGAGCACAGAGGTTAAAGAAGCATGAATAGCTATTCATCTAACAGCAAGAAATTTAGTTTGACCAGGGGATGGGATCTATGAAGAGAAAGGAAAGGCAGAAAGGATGATTAGAAATAGGTCATGGTGCCTTAAATGTTGTGCCAGTAGTTGGATTTCTTTCATGGTCAGAAGTCAGATGATTTGTTTCTTAACATCTACTGTTTTCCATCACTGATTAAATAAACATTATGTGTAATCACTGTAAGTGGAAACTTCTTTTATAAGAAGAAAATAAAATCACTTCAGATTTCTCTTCCCAGAGTTAATCACTGTTAATCTTTTGTTCTTGTGTTTCCTCTACACATTACTACAGTTGGGATATGGAAGACAGAAACAGATTGTATCCTCACTCTTTCACTAACATTCATTTCATGATTACCCACCTAATTAAGGATTCTCTGAAAATAGAGTCAATATTTACATAAAATTTATTGTATGAAAATATCAAAATTTCTTTAGTTCATATCCTGCTAGTAAATATTTATGTTGTTTTCAAATTTAGATTTAGCTATTATCAAAATGAACACCAGTTGTGCATTTACCCAAATGTACTTGGGATACTGTCTTTGGCCTATACTTAAGGATTTTATAAGAAATGGTCTTATGAAATATTGCTATAGCTGTTGTGTCCTAAATGTTTGTGTCCCTCCAAAATTCGTATGTTAAGCCCCAACCTCCCAGTATGACTATATTTGTAGACAAAGCCTGTTAGAAGATGGTAAATGTTAAATGAGGTCATAAGGGTAGGACCCTAATCCAATAGTGACCCTAAAAGAAGAGGAAGAGACACCAGAACTCTCGCTAAGAGAGGACACAGCAAGAAGGCAGCCCTGTGTAAGCCAGGAAGAGAATCTTCCCCTGGAACTGAATCAGCACCTTCATCTTGGACTTCCCACCCTCCATAACTGAGAAATAAATTCCTGTTGTTTAAGCCACCCAGTATGTTGCATTCTGTTATGGCATCCAGAGAAGACTAAGACAGCTGGCATAAATATTTGGCTGAGAACATTGTTAATTACATTGTACAGTTCATATTTAAGAAGAAAAAATTACTTTTGTAATGAGAAAATTTTTTTTTATTATTTCATGGACATTTAATTGAACAGGAATCCTAATGCTCAATTTGCTTTGTTTGCGTGAAATCTTATAGCCAGATATGTGGCTCTTTTCTGTTTGCCCCAATTTTCTTATTTATTATTTATTTAATATTTAGTTATAGTATATATATTTTTATAGATAACATTAATCGTGTTTTGGAATAGGCAGTTTGCAAATAAATAAACAGATGAAATTAAGTAAACATTATTTCAGCCACTTAGCAATCATTAAATTCAAAAGAGTGGTGATATAATGGAGCTAAGCATTATGCAAATTATTGAAACAGAATCATTATGTGAATTGACAGATAAATATATCTGTATTTTTCATATCTAAATGCATATGGTAGGATAGTTACAGAAATCATAAGAAATTGCATATTTATTTAGTTAGGGACAAACTAAGGAAACACACTTACTTTCCCAAGTCATAGCCAGACAAGGAAATGAGATTTCAAAAATTCCTTGAATAAAGAAAGGAGTTTAATAATTTAAGGAAAGGCAAATGCTGCCTTCATAACTTTCATTGAAAGAGAAGACTGAGATGCAGCAGGGAGGGTACTAACTGAACAGGACTCTAAAGGAGACCCATGTTAAATAAAATAGATGATATAAACACTTCTAATTTGATCTTTATTGTAGGTATGATATACCTTAATGTAGAATAAATAATCTAATTAATTTTTTCACATGTCTCTAAAATGGCATCATACTAATGATATGCAACTGTATGGAATACATGACTTCCTGAGAAGAAGTGCAAGAGTTTTCTCTAAAAATATTACTATGTTTTAAGAGGTTCAATTAGTCACACAACATATCTGATCAGCTTTGTAGGTTTGAGGAGCTTTTAGGGCTAAGTGAATGATTGCAAAGTGGGAATAATTTGGCAAGAGCAGAACAGTACTTTGAAAATTTCAACCAGTAAAAGTTAAATGCAAAATCTGTCTGGATATCATCTGTAATACAACAGAAGAGGAAGAGGTGACGTTTTTAAAGGATTACAGCTCTTTAAATTTTAAGGGGAAATGTATAATGCATACAAAATGTCATTTTCCAGGAAGCAAGATCCTCAATTCAACCAATACTTCCAAATTTATATAAATACCTCCTTTTCTCTGAAAATGTCTAGTGAAAAATTAACTAGAAACAGTGAAGTGTATTTTTAATAGTTATGTCTGAAATTAGTGAAACAGGAGAAAGAAAAGAGGGTTAGTCAATATAGCAAATGGTATTTCCTATCAGATCCATGTGGCACAGTGGAAAGAACGTGGCTTTGAGAACCAGATGTCCTGGCTTCAATCCTTACCTCTATGATCCATGAAATATGCAAAGCTGTATACACATATACATTTCTATATACATGCACTTTCTAATCCTTAACAACGTTAGCTCATGTTATGAATGAGGAGACTGACAGGGCTTATTAATTTGTATGAGATCACAAAGCAGCTAAGTGACTGAATTTGAATTCTGGTACAATTTACTCTAAAGTCTGCATTCTTTCCACTCCACAGAAAAAGGGGTGAATAGTTGCAAAACCTGTGAAGAGTCTGAGATTTTAGCCTTTCTCAGTTTTCACACATGCTAGCAGAAGACATGATACTCCTGGGTCAAAGACAAAGAGCTTTTTCACTCACAGCACAGCAAGAAACATGAGTTTCATGTTTAAGTCAGTTCTCCCCCCACCCCCAAACACCATAGGGCAGTTTAGAGAGGCCCTGGTGGATGCTGGGCAGACAGTTGGGTTTGTTGAACCTCGAGTTCAGGAAAATATTGTCTTAAAAAGAGTGAGGCCAGATAACAGTGTCATTGTTTGTCCAAGAGGGAGATAAAATTTTTACTATCCTGTTCAGGACACAAATCTGCCCTCTACCTCTACAGGGTATATTGAGACTCTATCTTCTAAGACTGTTTGATATGCAAACAACCTTTAAAAGATAGCGTGGAACAAAAGCTGTCACAGTCATATAGAAATGCTAGGAAGAATTGCCCCCCAGCAACGGTATCTGAGGAAAAAATCTAAATAAAATAGATTGTGAGGTTTACTGGACAGTCTGACAAAAGCCCAAAGAGGTGTGATGAAGTTGTACGTGGTGCATGTTTGCATATATTCATATCTAAGTCTGATTCAAATGCAGTCCTTGGGGTCTGGGGTCCATGTCATCAGCCCATTCACAACAGGACATAAGGCAGAGATGATTGGGAGAAAGGAAAAGACTAGCACCTTGGTGAAGAAGATTAGCAAAATTAGGTAAGACGTAAGGGCTCCAGTCAAGGAGAGTATGCTTGGGGCAGAAATTTATCCTAGACAGGAAAATCTAAGCAGAAAATCAGTTGTATGAATTAAGTCCATCTGTAAGGACAAGTTCCATTCAACTTACTGAGCACTCAGGAAGTTAGTGTCTCCGGTGCAGGGGCAGATTTGTTTCCTGACCAGAATAATAAAGGTAATGTCTCCCTCTGGGGCAAAGATTGTGCAGTTTAGTTTGAAGCCCCAGATAATAGCAGGAATAATTCCAGGCTTGGTGGATTTATAAGTTTTAATGCACTTCTTGCTCAGATTAGAATTAGCTTGCTAGCTGGGCAGGGCTGTGCTTGTTGATGAAAGGGTTTCCAGAGGACACAGACTGAGAGAGGTAGAAATTGACAGAAAGAAGAGATAAAGAGCAAAGCTGGGAGGTCACTTTTTCAAAGAGATAGTAAATGATCTAGTGAAATGTCAACAGCGAAAAAACATGTGCCTTTCTGCACAAGCTAAACTGCTGCAATCTTTGCCCAGGAATTAGAAGTGAAATGTCAAGCTAGCTTAATAGCAGATCCTACATGATAGCAGAGCCAAAGGATTAGAATTTGCAGAGAATATGTCCCCTCCTATTTAAAAGAAACATTATTAAACAACTCAATTAAATTAGATCCAAACCAGTTTGAAATCAAAGACATTACCCTTTTCTTGTTAAATCCCTAGTCACTAGATAGCTAAACACTTGCATGGTCTTAGGAAAGCTGTTTTAAGGCACTGTATTATTTGGGAGAATATCATCTTTATGCATTTGCACTCCGGCAAGTCATCTCAGAGTCCGTTATATTCGAATCCTGTAATCATTTCTTATAAAAAGGTAATATCATCTGCCATATTATATTGCACTCATTTCCATAATAAATGTTATAGTTAAATCTGATAACATCACTATTTAAAAGAAATGTATAAATATATATACATATATATATAATTCCAATAAATTTCTAAGAATAACTTTAAGAATAAGCTAAGGGACATCATTTTTATCTACTTATGAGTCATTGTATTCTCTTGCTTTAATTTAAAGTTTTGATCATAATAAACTTTTTCCAGGTCTGAGATAGCAGCAGCAATAACGGCTTCTCTTCAAACTTTGTGTGGAACAGAGAATAATTCTCATTTAACTTCATAAAATTGATGTAACAAGTGAGAAAAGATTATTTTT